GCAAAAGAAATGTAACAGAGGCCTGGGGACATGACTAATGAACAGAGTAAATGTTATTTTAGTGCCAGAAATGTCTGTCTTGTTTATTCTGGACCCTGTTTGGAAATTGGCATCTTTTGACATTTGAGTGAAATTGGCAAAATTGCCAATTTCTGACCACTTTATTGGATAGTTGAAATTGGTAAATGGGTGGTTTCTTTTACTCATTTGATATAAAAAATGGAGTTCTAGCGAAATAGTTATTATTTTTGTCGACTGGTACATTGGAATTGGCTGAAAATAGGGCTCAAATTGCGCAAAATTGCTGATGCGTAAAGATCGCCGAGACTGCTAACTTCATGAGAGCATAATTCCGTAAATTTTCCATCAAATTTCATACTTTTGATGTCATTATGATCGGGAAAAGATTCTTTATCATTTAATAAGATTTTTTTTTTTTTTTTTTTTTTTTTTTTTTTTTTTTTTTTAAATTTCTGACCCTGAGAACAAGTTTAGGGAAGGGCCTGCCTACCCTGAAAGGGTTAAAGGCTCCCCATTTTCATTTACCCCTTGCACCCCAAATTTACCCACTACTCCCTCCACAATATTTTTACCCACTTTAGCATAGAATTTCCAAGCCACAAGTACTCTCACACTAGGTTCAAAACTACCTACGCACTCGCTCAACATTTCCCAAAATCTCTATCTCTCCTCTACACTTCTCTCTTCTCCAAGTGTGTAAACACTTACTATAACCCACTTTTCACATCCAGCCCTTATTTTACTCCACATAATCCTTGAATTTATACATTTACATTCCCTCTTTTCCTGCCATAACTTATCCTTCAACATTATTGCTACCTGGAGAAGAGAGGAATGCAGAGGAGAGAGAGAGATTTTGGGAGATGTTAAGTGAATGTAGGAGCCTTTGAACCAAGTGAGAGAGTAATTGCGGTAGGGGACCTGAATGCTAAAGTAGGAGAAACTTTTAGAGAGGGTGTGGTAGGTAAGTTTGGGGTGCCAGGTGTAAATGATAATGGGAGCCCTTTGATTGAACTTTGTATAGAAAGGGGTTTAGTTATAGGTAATACATATTTTAAGAAAAAGAGGATAAATAAGTATACAAGATATGATGTAGGGCGAAATGACAGTAGTTTGTTGGATTATGTATTGGTAGATAAAAGACTGTTGAGTAGACTTCAGGATGTACATGTTTATAGAGGGGCCACAGATATATCAGATCACTTTCTAGTTGTAGCTACACTGAGAGTAAAAGGTAGATGGGATACAAGGAGAATAGAAGCATCAGGGAAGAGAGAGGTGAAGGTTTATAAACTAAAAGAGGAGGCAGTTAGGGTAAGATATAAACAGCTATTGGAGGATAGATGGGCTAATGAGAGCATTGGCAATGGGGTCGAAGAGGTATGGGATAGGTTTAAAAATGTAGTGTTAGTGTGTTCAGCAGAAGTTTGTGGTTACAGGAAAGTGGGTGCGGGAGGGAAGAGGAGCGATTGGTGGAATGATGATGTAAAGAGAGTAGAAAGGGGAGAAGAAGTTAGCATATGAGAAGTTTTTTACAAAGTAGAAGTGGTGCAAGGAGGGAAGAGTATATGGAGAAAAGAGAGAGGTTAAGAGAGTGTGAAGCAATGTAAAAAGAGAGCAAATGAGAGAGTGGGTGAGATGTTATCAACAAATTTTGTTGAAAATAAGAAAAAGTTTTGGAGTGAGATTAACAAGTTAAGGAAGCCTAGAGAACAAATGGATTTGTCAGTTAAAAATAGGAGAGGAGAGTTATTAAATGGAGAGTTAGAGGTATTGGGAAGATGGAGGGAATATTTTGAGGAATTGTTAAATGTTGATGAAGATAGGGAAGCTGTGATTTCGTGTATAGGGCAAGGAGGAATAACATCTTCTAGAAGTGAGGAAGAGCCAGTTGTGAGTGTGGGGGAAGTTCGTGAGGCAGTAGGTAAAATGAAAGGGGGTAAGGCAGCCGGGATTGATGGGATAAAGATAGAAATGTTAACCCTTTCAGGGTCCGTCCCGTAGATCTACAGCTTTACGGTGAGTGTCCAAACCGTAGATCTACGCCATGAGCTCAGCTCACTCTGATAAACTGTGAGTGGTACATTTGGGCCTAGATATGAGAGAATACATCTATGTGGTATGTGTGCACCACATAAAACAGATCCTGCAGCACACTGTGTATAATGAGAGAAAAAAACTTAAATCATGATTTTTCGATTAAAACAGCAACTTTGCAGTGTTTTTTCGTATGTTTTTTATAGTTGTATTTGCGATTTCTTGGTCTCATTTGATAGAATGGAAGACATATTACAGAAATAGAGATGATTTTGATTGGTTTTAGCACTGGAAATGGCTTGAAACTGAGCTCAAAGTAGCGGAAATGTTAAATTTTTGCCAATATTCAAGAGTAAACAAACGACCTCACACGTCTAATACTGTACACGTCAGCTGGTGGGTCTAATATACATTCACAAATATGGTATTGATATTTATACAATTATTACAGTATTGCATAACAGTAAATCTTCTATTTTTTGGTGTGAATAAAAATTCATTATGTGAATAAAAAATCAAAATGGAATTTATTTGTAAATCCTCAAAACATAAATAATGAACAGAGGAAATGTTAGTTTAGTGCCAGGAATACCTACATTGTTTATTCTGGACCCTATTTTGAAATTGGAATATTTTAAACTTTAATTGGCCAAATTAACAATTTCCGATCACTTTATTTTGTAGTTGAAACAGTTGACTTAGCAATTTCTTGTGCTCAATCGATAGAATAGAAGTAAAACTAGTGAAATAGCTAAGAATTTGGTTGATTGGAATAATGTAATTGGCCTAAAATGGGAGTCAAAGTCGGCAAAATCGCCGATTCGTAAATATCGCTGACACATCAAAATTCGCGAGAGCATAATTTCGTAAATTTTCCACCAAATTTCGTACTTTTTGTTTTATTACCTTCACAAAAAGATTCTCTATGATTTCATAAGAAAAAATAACAAATTTTTTTTTTGAAAATTCTTGGACACTGGTGCGTGACTCCAGATTTGGGCCTTGGACCCTGAAAGGGTTAAAAGCAGGTGGGGATACAGTTTTGGAGTGGTTGGTGCAATTATTTAATAAATGTATGGAAGAGGGTAAGGTACCTAGGGATTGGCAGAGAGCATGCATAGTTCCTTTGTATAAAGACAAAGGGGACAAAAGAGAGTGCAAAAATTATAGGGGGATAAGTCTGTTGAGTATACCTGGTAAATTGTATGGTAGAGTTATTATTGAAAGAATTAAGAGTAAGACGGAGAATAGGATAGCAGATGAACAAAGAGGCTTTAGGAAAGGTAGGGGGGTGTGTGGACCAGGTGTTTACAGTGAAACATATTAGTGAACAGTATTTAGATAAGGCTAAAGAGGTCTTTGTGGCATTTATGGATTTGGAAAAGGCGTATGACAGGGTGGATAGGGGGGCAATGTTGCAGGTGTATGGTGTAGGAGGTAGGTTACTGAAAGCAGTGAAGAGTTTTTACGAGGATAGTGAGGCTCAAGTTAGAGTATGTAGGAAAGAGGGAAATTATTTCCCAATAAAAGTAGGCCTTAGACAAGGATGTGTGATGTCACCATGGTTGTTTAATGTATTTATAGATGGGGTTGTAAGAGAAGTAAATGCGAGGGTCTTGGCAAGAGGCGTGGAGTTAAAAGATAAAGAATCACACTTAAAGTGGGAGTTGTCACAGCTGCTCTTTGCTGATGACACTGTGCTCTTGGGAGATTCTGAAGAGAAGTTGCAGAGATTGGTGGATGAATTTGGTAGGGTGTGCAAAAGAAGAAAATTAAAAGTGAATACAGGAAAGAGTAAGGTTATGAGGAAAACAAAAAGATTAGGTGATGAAAGATTGGATATCAGATTGGAGGGAGAGAGTATGGAGGAGGTGAATGTATTCAGATATTTGGGAGTGGACGTGTCAGCGGATGGGTCTGTGAAAGATGAGGTGAATCATAGAATTGATGAGGGGAAAAGGGTGAGTGGTGCACTTAGGAGTTTGTGGAGACAAAGAACTTTTTCCTTGGAGGCAAAGAGGGGAATGTATGAGAGTATAGTTTTACCAACGCTCTTATATGGGTGTGAAGCATGGGTGATGAATGTTGCAGCGAGGAGAAGGCTGGAGGCAGTGGAGATGTCATGTCTGAGGGCAATGTGTGGTGTGAATATAATGCAGAGAATTCGTAGTTTGGAAGTTAGGAGGAGGTGCGGGATTACCAAAACTGTTGTCCAGAGGGCTGAGGAAGGGTTGTTGAGGTGGTTCGGACATGTAGAGAGAATGGAGCGAAACAGAATGACTTCAAGAGTGTATCAGTCTGTAGTGGAAGGAAGGCAGGGTAGGGGTCGGCCTAGGAAAGGTTGGAGGGAGGGGGTAAAGGAGGTTTTGTGTTCGAGGGGCTTGGACTTCCAGCAGGCATGCGTGAGCGTGTTTGATAGGAGTGAATGGAGACAAATGGTTTTTAATACTTGACGTGCTGTTGGAGTGTGAGCAAGGTAACATTTGTGAGGGGGTTCAGGGAAACCCGGCAGGCCGGACTTGAGTCCTGGAGATGGGAAGTACAGTGCCTGCACTCTGAAGGAGGGGTGTTCATGTTGCAGTTTAAAAACTGTAGTGTAAAGCACCCTTCTGGCAAGACAGTGATGGAGTGAATGATGGTGAAAGTTTTTCTTTTTCGGACCACCCTGCCTTGGTGGGAATCGGCCAGTGTGATAATAAATAAATAAATAAAAATATTATTGCTACTCTTTAGCTCCAACTCTATTTGAAACCCCTGACCTAATCCCATTTATTTCTCCCCATTGAAACTCTCCCACCCCCACTCTGAATTCTCTGCATAATATTCACATAACACAGTATAGTTTTCTTAGCTTTCCAGCAAACACTTTCCTACACATTTTTTTTTATATGTATTACCATGTTGGCATTATTATCAATTATTATAAACAATCTTTTTCACAGGTTCTTCTTCCATTGGATGGCCCTGGGTTTGAAGAACACCGAGCCCATATGTTAATTGGTGTAATTGTACGTGCCAAGAGCAAGCGGGTTTATGATCACATCTCGGGTACCTGGAGTGTAGTAGGCGCAGGTGTAGGGTTGCCACCTCAGCCTGTGCAAAAACACTATGGTAAGTATATTTTCTAGGAATGTGATGACTCAGAGAAATATTTCAAGTTATTCCTATTCATTAGATTAACCTTTGGCAATGTATGCTCATGTGACAGCAACATGCTGTCCTGTCACTTGCATAAATGTCGCAGATATACCTTTTTTTACTATTTTTTCTTTTAACTTGCATAGTTTTTGTGATCTGATACTTACAGTTTATAGTAGAAATCATGATTTCGTAGTCAGTCATTGTTATGACACAAATATTCGGTACAGAAACAGTAATCAAACAGTCACAAATACACTGACAGCTGAACATGTTCACCTGCCTCTGTCACATACTATTGTCGAGAAATGTATGCAAATTATTTATAGGTCCCAGGAGTATATTTAGATGTGCAGAAGTACAGTGGACCCCCGCATAACGATATTATTTCAATCCAGAAGTCTGTTTGGGTGCCGTTATAGACCGAATTTGTTCCCATAAGAAATATTGTGAATTAGATTAGTCCATTTCAGACCCCTAAAAATACACCTACAAAAGCACTTACAAAAATAAACTTACATAATTGGTCGAGTTGGGAGCTGATCGTTATCCGGGGGTCCACTGTATATGAAACTCTTTGAAGCTCAGTGTCAGACTGATGGTACTGACTGATTGCTGATGGTGCACTCTCAACATTGCTGATGTTGCACTCTCAACATTGCTGATGGTGCACTCTCAACATTGCTGATGTTGCACTCTCAACATTGCTGATGTTGCACTCTCAACATTGCTGATGGTGCACTCTCAACATTGCTGATGTTGCACTCTCAACATTGCTGATGGTGCACTCTCAACATTGCTGATGTTGCACTCTCAACATTGCTGATGGTGCACTCTCAACATTGCTGATGTTGCACTCTCAACATTGCTGATGGTGCACTCTCAACATTGCTGATGTTGCAGTCACTCAGTATTGCTGATGGTGCAGTCACTCAACATTGTTGATGGTGCAGTCACTCAGTATTGCCGATGGTGCATTCGCTCAATAATGCTGATGGTGCAGTCACTCAACATTGCTGATGGTGCAGTCAACACTGCTGATGGTGCACTGCACCATCAGCACTGCCTCCAACCACCTTGGCATATATTTTCTATTTTTTTCAGGTCATCTTACCTCAGTGGGAAATGGCCAGTATATTTAATAATGATAATGTTATATGGCACTATATACTGTAGGGGTATCAGATTTGTAGCCAGCCTATTGCAGTACTTTAAGGTTATTTAGAAACAACCAATAATATTAGTCTTCATAATATTTTACAGATTTACCAGAGCGGAGCTATACGCCCCCACTCCCAACTGATGAAGACATTCAAGAAATTGCATTAGCTGCAAAGGATTCTTATGATGAAATTGATGTCAGTGAAAAATCTGATTCTGCTTCAAAGAATAGTGAAGAGAAATCAGTTGGTTTTCTTGATACTGGAACATTAAAAAGACAAGCCAGAGATGCAGGTGAAGTTATACAACCTAAAAAGCGTCACATTGATTTGGTAAATGATTCTCCCACTGCAGGTATTGCCTCTATAAATGAGGAGCCAAATAGCCCCCCTGAAGAAACTTTCATTGAAGCTTCACTGGATCAAGAATCTATGTTGGCAGAACTTAATCGGCAAATTGAAGAACATAAAAAGGAATTGAGTGAAATGCAAAAGACAATAGGTAATGAAGACGAAGAGCCATATAGTCCCTCTGGTTCTCATGGTGTACCTTCCTCTGGGAGTGAACATTTAAAACTTGATACATCTAAAATCAATATTCCATCCAATTTGCAAGAGATACTAGACAACATTAAACAGAAAGAGGTAGAAATTAAACAGAAAGAGCAAGAAATTAAGAGAAGGTTAAGCTTGACATCAGATCCCATTATGATGAATTACAGTAAATATCAGGAATTTGAGAATAAGAAGATTGGAGATAGCGTTGCCACTGCAGCAAAAGGTGATGTTGATTTGAGGCCTTTACTCCAGAATAAATCTAATAAAGAACACAAAAGTGATACAGACTTACGCATTTTAAAAAATACAGACGAAAACAGTGAAAAAATTGGAACTACAGTTGATTCAGGTTTAAAAACTGATGAAGACACCGATCTCAGGATAAGAGATCCACGATTAGTTCGGGCTCAAGTTGCTGCTGTCTTGGAAAGCAGCAAAACGTTAAGTAAAATGAGTGATGAAGAATTACTTGCTAAAGCCTCAGAGATGGAAGATAATAAAAAAAATAGTAAACAAACTCATTCAGAGGTAGGTGAATCTCCATATCAGCCTGTTCAACCCCCTTTTATACAACCTGGTATAACAAGCAGTTTTATACCACAAGGAGGCCCTGTTGTATTACCTGAAGGCATGGCTTGTACACTAGGACCATCTCACCCACCTGGTATTTCAAGTCATTCTTCTTATATTGGTGTTATGGGACCACCACCATCCATGGAGCTATATGGAGCCCAAGGAGGAAGAATACCAGGCCCAGTAAGGCACGTGGGCCCACCTACTGGTTCCTTAGAACATTCTGATCCTCCAGACCATTCAGGGCTTCAAATACCTCCTGGTTATCCAAATCCCCATGTTCCTTTAGATCCCCATGGCTTGCCAAGTTATCCAGGTCCACCTGGCCCAGTAAGAGCCAGGTATTCAGGTAGTGGGTGGGATGGAGGAAAAAATTATAATAGAAATTGGGGTCATCATTATAACAAGTCAAGAGATAGAGATCGAGAATGGGAAAGAGATAGAGACTGGCGCTCAAGAACAGGTAGAGATACTAGACATTCAAAATTTTATTATGAAGGAAAGAAAAGACATGAAAGAAGAAATGATAACCGTGAAAGGAAAAGAAATAACCCTTACCGTGACAGGCAAGAGAAAGAAAAAGAGCATTCTTATGAAGATCATGATTTTGACAAAGATGGCCCATATCCAGAAATTGATTATTAATGTTGTGAATAATAAAAAAATATTCAACATATATTTTAAAAAATTCATTTAAGGGTTAAAAATATAATCCTTTAAAAATTATTTATAGACTTTTAAACAGAAATTATGTGATTTAATGACAAAGAACAGTTTATAATATTGTGTAAATTATGTTATCTATTTTGTGCATTAACTGAGTGGCCAATGTTGTTCTTGCTCACATTGGGCAACTTCACAAAGGTGTATATAATGCATTTTGAAAATGAACTTATCTGTAGTGACTTTTTAAAAACTAAAATCTTTTGATTGTTCATAGAAAAATGGTATATTATTTGCCAAAGCATGTTACAGATTTCTAAGATCCATATGTGTTTTTACTTTTAAAGCTGCTTCACCTCATAAATACGTTTACAATTTTTTGTTAAATTATTTAATGGATTTTTCAAGTTCATAAAATTTATTGAAAGAGGAAGATAAGAGCATGACAGCATGTAGATGTGTACCCAACATTGCTGCTTGGGTAAATCACTCATTGGCAATTTGGATACTGAATATACAGAATTATAATTTTAATAAAAATACATTTTCCTCTGCTATAAATTAAGGTAAGATAGTCATGAAAGTAATGGGAAGGGGGAAGACACAACATTCAAAAAGTAGGTAAACAGCTCAGTGAAACACTAATCCCCAATGTTTTGTGTGTGAGAAAGTAGTGTACATGGAAGAATTGTAAATATGTGTTGTATAAACTTTTATTGTAATTATGAAACTTAGAATGGATTCATTTTTATAGTGTAAATTTTTTACATAGTGACTTACGCCTGCTTACTCCTCATCACTTGAGCATTGCACTTAAACTTCACTTGTATCAAGGCCAGAAGAGTGCAGTATTAAAAAGGAATTTGCTGCAGTTAAGACATTTTGTATTTGTTAACTAAAATAATGCTCATACACAGTTCTGAGCATTGTCCATATTAATTGGAAAGTACTGTATATATTTCTGCAAAGCAAGGCAGGAGTTTGATATCAGAGAACATAACTTTCTTGTATTGTAAGTGGTTATCCATCCAGTTACCTGACCAATGGTGCTTAACCTAAATGATTGACAGATGCAAACATCTGCTTTATATGTACACAATGTGTGTGTGCATGAGAGAGAGAAAGTGAAGTGAGAGAATGGGAGTGTCAGCAAATTTTGCTGAGAAAAAGAAACTATTTTGGAAAGAGAGAAATAGGGAGAGGAATGTCAGCAGTATAATACTTGTGTAGTATATGTATATCGTTAAAACTTAGCAGATACAATTGAAAGTAAGGAGATTATAGATGAGGAAGTGGATGTACTGGAAAGATGGAGGGGACATTTTGAAAAGTTGTTTAATGTTGTTGATGAAGGGGAGGCGGTGAGATATATTTGTGTATATATATTTTTTATTTTTTATTTAATTTTTTTACATTGGCCTTTTCTCACCAAGGTAGGCTGTCCAGAAAAAAATGCTTCACCATCATTTACTTTGACTTTGTCACTGTCTTGCCAGAGGTATGCAGATGCTACAGTTCAAGATTCCAATTCCACACTGCAAATATCCCCACCCTTCCTTCAGAGTGCAGGCACTGTACTTCCCACTTCCAGGACTCTGGTTCAGCTAACCAGTTTCCCTGAATCCCTTCACAAAATGTTACTTTGCTCACTCTCCAACAGTTCGTCAAGTACCAGAAGTGATTTGCGTCCACTCCTGTCTAACACGCTTACACATGCTTTCTGGATATCCAAGCTCCTTGCACACAAAATCTTTATCCCCTCCTACCTTGCTTACCCACTGCTACAGATTTATACACCCTCCAAGTTATCCTATTTTCCTCCATCCTCTCTAAGTGTCCAAACCACCTTAACAACCCCCTCCTCAGTGTTCTGGATAATACTTTTAGCAACTCCGTACCACCACCTAAACTCCAAGCTACAGATTCACTGCATAATATTCACATCACACATTGCCCTTAGATACAACATCTCCACTGACTCAGCTTCCTCCTTGCTGCAACATTCACAGCCCATGCTTCACACCCATATAAGAGCATTGATACCACTGTACTCTCATACATTTCCCTCTTTGCCTTCATGGATAACGTTTTTTGTCTCCACAGATGCCTCATTGTACCACCCACCTTTTTCTCCTTCGTCAATTCTATGGTTCACCGTGACTTTATATACCCATCTCTTTTTAACATTTCTGTCGTCCATCAGTCTCATCTGCTTTAAACCCTTTCATTTTGCCCACAGCCTAATGCATCTCCTCCACTCTTACATCTGGCTATACCTCCATCTTCCCAACTCCAGCTTCCCTTTTAATAACTACCCTCTTCTGATTTTAACTGTCAAATCTGTTTGTTCCCTTGGTTTTCACAACTTGTGAATTTCACTCTAAAATTTGATCTTATTTTCAACAAAATTTGTTGACAGAACCTCACCCATTCTCTTGTTTGCTCTCATTTTACACTACCTCACCAATTTCTTAACCTCTCTTTTACTCTTCATATACTCCACTCTTTTTATATCACTTCTACTTTGTTAAAACCTCTCAAATGCTAACTTTTTCTCCCTTTCCACCCACCTTTACCTCATCATTCCACTAATCATTCCTCTTCCTTCTTGCACACACCCTCCTATATACACAAATTTCTGCTGCATATTCTGACACTGCATTCTTAAATCTACCTCATACCTCCTCATTACCTGTACTTTCACTAGCTCATGCTTCTCCCAATAGTTGCTTATATCTTACCCTAACTACCTCCTCTAGTTTTTACATTTTCACCTCTCTCTTATTAATGCTATTTTCCTTCTACCCCATCTACCTCTTATACTTATTCCAGTTACATCTAAATAATGATCTTATATATATATCTGTTGCCACTCTGCATACATATACATTTGATTTAATACACTGGCCTCACTTACTGAGGTAGGGTGACCCAAAAAATAAACACTTCACCATAATTCACTCCATCACTGTCTTGCCCCAAGGCAAGTTCAGATGCCCTTCCAAACTGCATATATCCCCCAACCCTCCTTCAGAGTGCAGGCACTGTACTTCCCACTTACAGGACTTGAATCTGGCTAACAAGTTTCCCAAATCCATTTATAAATGTTACCTTGCTCACACTACAACAGAATGTCAAATCATGAAAACCACTTGCATCCATTCACCCCTGTTGAACACACGTACACACTATTTTTTTTTTCTTTCAACAAGTCGGCCGTCTCCCACCGAGGCAGGGTGACCCAAAAAAGAAAGAAAATCCCCAAAAAGAAAATAATTTCATCATCATTCAACACTTTCACCTCACTCACACACAATCACTGTTTTTGCAGAGGTGCTCAGAATAAAACAGTTTAGAAGCATATATGTATAAAGATACACAACATATCCCTCCAAACTGCCAATATCCTGAATCCCTTATTTAAAGTGCTGGCAATGTACTTCCCATTTCCAGGACTAAAGTCCGGCTATATAAAAATAACTGGTTTCCCTGAATCCCCTCACTAAATATTACCCTGCTGTCACTCCAACAGCTTGTCAGGTCCCAAATACCACTCGCCTCCATTCACTCCTATCTAACACCCTCACGCACGCTTGCTGGAAGTCCAAACCCCTCACCCACAAAACCTCCTTTACCCCCTCCCTCCAACCTTTTCGAGGACGACCTCTACCCCGCCTTCCTTTCCCTACAGATATATTCGCTCTCCATGTCATTCTACTTTGATCCATTCTCTCTAAATGACCAAACCACCTCAACAACCCCTCTTCTGCCCTCTGACTAATGCTTTTATTAACTCCACACCTTCTCCTAATTTCCACACACCGAATTTTCTGCATAATATTTACACCACACATTGCCCTTAGACAGGACATCTCCACTGCCTCCACCCACCTCCTCGCTGCTGCATTTACCACCCAAGCTTCACATCCATATAAGAGTGTTGGCACTACTATACTTTCATACATTCCCTTCTTTGCCTCCATAGATAACGTTTTTTGACTCCACATATACCTCAATGCACCACCCACCTTTTTTCCCTCATCAATTCTATGAGTAACCTCATCCTTCATAAATCCATCCGCCGACACGTCAACTCCCAAGTATTTGAATACATTTACTTCTTCCATACTCCTCCTCCCCAATTTGATATCCAATTTTTTTTTATCTAAATCATTTGATACCCTCATCACCTTACTCTTTTCTATGTTCACTTTCAACTTTCTACCTTTACACACATTCCCAAACTCATCCACTAACCTTTGCAATTTTTCTTTAGAATCTCCCATAAAATCTCCCATAAGCACAGTATCATCAGCAAAAAGTAACTGTGTTAATTCCCATTTTGAATTCGATTCCCCATAATTTAATCCCACCCCTCTCCCGAACGCCCTAGCATTTACTTCTTTTACAACCCCATCTATAAATATATTAAACAACCATGGTGACATTACACATCCCTGTCTAAGACCTACTTTTACCGGGAAGTAGTCTCCCTCTCTTCTACACACCCTAACCTGAGCCTCACTATCCTCATAAAAACTCTTTACAGCATTTAGTAACTTACCACCTATTCCATATACTTGCAACATCTGCCACATTGCTCCCCTATCCACTCTATCATATGCCTTTTCTAAATCCATAAATGCAATAAAAACTTCCCTACCTTCATCTAAATACTGTTCACATATATGCTTCAATGTAAACACTTGATCTACACATCCCCTACCCACTCTGAAACCTCCTTGCTCATCGGCAATCCTACATTCTGTCTTACCTCTAATTCTTTCAATTATAACCCTACCGTACACTTTTCCTGGTATACTCAATAAACTTATTCCTCTTTAATTTTTACAATCTCTTTTGTCCCCTTTCCCTTTATATAAAGGGACTATACATGCTCTCTGCCAATCCCTAGGTACCTTCCCCTCTTTCATACATTTATTAAACAAAAGTACCAACCACTCCAACACTATATCACCCCCTGCTTTTAACATTTCTGTCATGATCCCATCAGTTCCAGCTGCTTTACCCCCTTTCATTCTACGTAATGCCTCACGTACCTCCCCCACATTTACATCCTGCTCTTCTTCACTCCTAAAAGATGGTATACCTCCCTGACCAGTGCATGAAATTACCGCCTCCCTTTCTTCCTCAACATTTAAAAGTTCCTCAAAATATTCTCGCCATCTACCTAATACCTCCCTCTCCCCATCTACTAACTCCCCTACTGTTTTTAACTGACAAATCCATACTTTCCCTAGGCTTTCTTAACTTGTTTAACTCACTCCCAAATTTTTTTTTATTTTCATTAAAATTTCTTGACAGTGCCTCTCCCACTCTATCATCTGCTCTCCTTTTGCACTCTCTCACCACTCTC